GTCCAATCAATTTCCATTACCATGACCTAACTCAAATTGACTCTGCGAAACACATGTTAGTCATAGTAATCTCGTGTCGTCATTAATCACCGAAACCCAACTAGGGGCCTAGATGCTTTCAAGCTTCAGTAGAAATTTTGTAATAATTTATAGGAGATTTTTGAGGAAAAATCAGAGAAAGATACATTTTTGTGGCTCTAGCTCCTCTATAAAAAATGGCTCCAACTCCTCTGGGCTCTTAGCAAGGAGACATTTTGTAGATGCCCATTTGAAAGGTCCTTGTTTGGTTTTGGTAATTGAGTGACAACCTAGGTGAACTAATTATGTTTAATATGAGTTACACAGGTGATTAGTCCATAGGTACATCATGAGTGAGCAACCTTTGCTAGGTCCTTGGTTGGTTTTGGTAATTAAGTGACAACCTTGGTGGACTAATTGTGTTTAATGTGAGATACACAGGTGATTAGTCCATAGGTACATCATGTGTGAGCAACCTTTGCCATGGAGGTAAAATGGCTTGGAGATGTTGCAAAGCTCACACATGTGATGAAGGAGCTCATTGCATATGAGACATGACATGGAGTCATGTGATCAAGGTTGAGAAGATCAAAACAAGACTTGGCTCGATGGACCGGTTGCAAGTGTGAAGGACAAGTTGAGTGATGACTTGGCGTTGATAGACCGAAGCAACAGTGAAGAGCAAGTGAAGTCAAGATCGATAATGAACCAATACGGTCACGTGATAATATGAAGTGGATCATATCATTTGGTGATTGGTTGGTGCATTTGTTGCATCAACAATGGAGGAGATGAAATGGAATGAGTAAGGCAAAGGTATAACCTAGGGCATTTTATTTCACCGGTCATAGGCGTATAGAGAAGTTAATGACCGGGTTTAGGATAGATGGCTGAACTATCAAGAGGGGCAAACTTATTTGCATATCGATCATCTAGTGCCACTTGAGCGATCTAACTTTGCATACGTGTTAGGATCGAGTGGCGTGATGAATTGAGTGCTAATCCTTTGGAAAATATTTGTGAAAAGCTAACACATGTGCACAAGGTGGTGATCACTTGGTGGTATTAGCACATTTGCAAAGGTGAAGAAGTTGGTGAAAAAAAAGAGACAAAATCAGGCTCATAGTGGTGCCCTAGGGGTACCGCCACCCCCTGTCCGGTGCACTGCCACCCCTATAGCGGTGCCCCGCTGGTCGAGGCCGAGAGTAGCGTGTTGGGGGTTGGCACCGCCGTGCCTTGTCTGGTGGCACCGCCACCCCTAGGGCGGTGCCCACCTAGACTTGGCAGAGCGTAGCTGGAGTCAGGGTGGTCATCAGACATGACGGTGTACACCGCCATGGCATGGACGGTGCACTGCCGGGTGTTGTCTGGTGCCACCATCGTGTTTTTCCCAAGGCCAGTGTTTTCAGTGTTGGGCTAAGGAGGTCACCACCATAGGCACCGCCGCCCTATGTCCGGTGCACCACTCTATTAATCCAGAGAGGGAGGAAAACAGGCACGAGCACCGTCGGGGGCACCGCCACCCTTGGGCGGTGCACCGCCCCTGCCTATCGGGTGCTAGGTCTACAACGGCTAGTTGAAATAGCCATTGGAATTCGACTGTTGGGGGCATGCCACCCCATGTCCGGTGACTGCACCGCCGTGTTTGGTGCCCTCGCAGAAAGTGTAGCTTTGCTCCAACGGCTCTATTTGGCTTGGAGGCTATAAATAGAGGTGGAGCTCGGGCATTTGGTTGGTTGAGCACCCTTGGGACTGAGTGTCTATGCTTGGGGAGTGCTTGGAAGCTGATGAGTATAGGCCCGATCTTCCGAGAGGTAGCCGGTAAGTTCGATATGTGGAGATCTCGATGTTGGCGATCCGGCTTCAAATCAGACGCGATTCGAACCCTGCAACCGTTACACCACTGCTCCGTTGGTTATCAACCAAGCACAACTTGATTGACCTCGCCAAGAAGGCTTTTCCTGCAAGCGAATCGAAGAGCACAAGCAAGAAGGTAAAACACGCAATCTGATATTGCAAATATGAATGACGCGAATATCAATAGAGGGTTCAAGAACTCGGTTCCAAAGGACTAATCGACACAGTGGAGGAGATCAAGAACGGGGGCCCTGGATCACTGTAAAAGGATTTGTCACCACAGTTACAATGAACGATTCAGTTTCTCGATGGAAAACTAAACTCTAAACAAAACACAATTGTGTAGCAGCGGCGGCGGCTGTGTTTATAGTCTAAGACTCGACCTAGGGTTGGGGACGGCCAGGGGTTGGGCGCCCACAACTTGGGCTTAAGGCCCGACACGATACATGGCCAAGTTGGCCCAAATAGGTGACGCAGCACCTTGCCATGGTCACACAGAATGATCCACAGACCTTCTGGAGCTGGGACTAGATCCAAAACGACGGCGTCGTCGTCCCCTTTCCAATGCATCCAAGAACGGTCCGTTTCGATGTCGTATGAGAAAGTTATGACCGAAACAGTGACGACGTGCCTGCTGAATCCGAGGGCGACGTGGCAGCTGAGTTGGGAACGAATTGCAACTTGGGGAAGACCATGGCATCGGTGTGTCCAGCGTGGCGATGTCCTCATCAGAAGCCCTCCAACTCACTTGTGCTTGATAGTGATCATCCGATCGAGTGAGTGAGCGATTCTAGTACGATTGCATCGTGAGGTTGCATCGAGTGGCACTAGGTGATCGAGTTGCAAGCCGGTGGTGCTTGTTACTCTTGGAGGTTGCCACCTCCTAGACGGCTTGGTGGCTTGCGACTCCATTGAAGCAAGCAAGAAGATTGTGCGGTGCTCCGGAGGAGGATTTGTGAGGGGGATTGTGCTCACCCACGGGGATCACGAAGAGCAACTCTAGTAAAGCGTACCATTGAGCTACCCTTACTTTCGGGGGTAGGTTCTTGCGGTGCCCGACGTGCGGACTTAGCAGGTGATGCCAATTAGCCGCTGAACCATCAAGTGAACGGTCGACATAACGGGAACGTATCTTGGTGGCAACCAAGTGAACTTGGGGAGAAAATCACCGTGTCAACATTGTCTTCATCATCTTCTCGGTGGTTTGCATTCCGCGCAACACAAGCTTGTATTACTTTCATTTACATTGTGCTTGTGTAGTTGCTCTTGTGACTAGTTTAGCTTTAGTAGCTTGCTAGTTACCTTCTTGCTTGTGTAGCATAGAAGTAGCTCTCTTGCGTGACTAATTTGGTTTTAGTAACCTTATTAGTCATATTGTTTAGTTTGTGTAGCTAAGTAATTTGTGCTCTCTAATTTGGTATTAGTTGTCTTGTTGTTGAACATTGCTAGTGAGCTTAGAAGCTTTGTGCTTTTGCTTACTAGTTGTGTTGGAGCTCCCTATTGCTTGAAGTACTAGTGGCATAGGTTTGTGTGATCTTGCTCTTAGAATTGGTTATGTGAGCTCTAACTAGTCCGGCACCTTAGTTGCTTGTTTAGGATCTTTTCAAGTTGCTTGATAATCTAGATAGATGTGTGTAGTCTTGGCTAGACCGATAGTTTTAATTCCGCATTTGTTACGGTTTACCGACGCAATTGTTTATAGAAAAGACTATACATCTCTCTCCTCTAATCCGCCATCTCGACCCTACACCGTTTAGCTAGACTTCTTGTATGGAGCCGTGAGAAGCTAGAGCCGAGCCCTGCCAAATAAGACCTACCACATAATATAGAGCATTGTATATGAAAGCAAAACTAGAAAACCACATTAGTTTTAAGCCAATCCATCTTTCTAGTACAGGTTCCTGCTAGCCAGTGTAGTGGGTCCCGACGATGTTAATTTTAAGTTGATATTATATTACTATTTAATAAAGGGGGAATTCATGGCGCCTGAATAGTAAACAATTTGATTTGTTTTGTTTATTCGACTGCCAAGGATCCTAGCATCATCTTCATGAACATGTAGATTTTAGAAAAGGAAAAACAGGAACGACAGTAACCAGCTGGAATACATGCGATGCTAGCAATTCTTATTGGAGCATGCAGGTGCCAGGTTTTGTTGAGCCCGGGGGCACCGGCCCAGGGTGGCTGGGCTTTGGCTCCGCCATTGGTTTCTAGATATGTTTTTTTCATGAGCTCTGAATACTTGTTTTGGTTCACTGTGTTCCAATCTAGCTACCAACTATGATTCTCTTGGAATTTTAGAAATTTATAGAAAAAATTTTCTGGTTTAAAAACTTTAGCATGAGATTATTTTTTAACTAAAATGTAACGGAACCATCTTGGAAATCACCTATAACCGAAACAAGAAGGGGTAATTTAAATGGTTTTGAAAGTTGAATAGAGATAGTTTGCTCGCATTTGGATTTCGATGAGAAAACCTAAATTATGGCTATAGTTTAGGGAGGAAATCATATTTTTGTTTTTCTACAAAAGTCTTTTATCCACATATGTTTGTAGTTCTACAAAAGGGTTTTGTCCTGTAGGTTACGCCTCTAGCTCTCTACGAGTAAGCACTAGTCTTGGATTAACAGCTTACCATTACTGCGATTTGCATTCAACAAGCCAGGCTTCTCTTAAAGATCTCCAAATATTTATGCAGGAAGAAAATTTCATGGTAGATCGATTCAGAATGTCAGAATTTTAGTGCCAAAACCAGAAACCTGAAAATGCAAGCGACACAACTAATATCCAACCATACTGATTAGCAATGCAACTGTGCCCTGCTATGGGTTTACATACACTACATAAATATCGGTCCTTCTGTCATGGAAGGAGCGTGACCTGAATTTGTTGCTGCAACTGTGCCCTGCACGAAGTGGTAGAATGGAAGTTTGTTTCCATCTTGGTACTATAGATAGAAAACGTGTCCAATCGTCGAGTGACGCGGCACGCTAGCGACTCCTCTCCTACTATTCTATCTAGCAGCCTCACAGCCTTAGCCTTAGCCTCAGTTCACCGCCTCTCAGCCGCCGCGGCCATCCGCCGCCCCGCCACTCGCGCGCACCAACCGCCCCGGCGAAGCGCCCATGCCGCCGCCGTCTGCGTCCGACGCCGACATCGACCCGCGCAGCGGCTACTGCGCGTCCACGAAGACATTCCACAGCCTGCGCACGCCGGAGCCGCCGCTGCCTTCACCGGACCTCCCGCTCTCCTTCCCGGCCTACGCCCTATCCTTCCTCCCGTCCCCGCTCCCCGCGCCCACGGACCCGTCCCGCCCGGCGCTCGTTGACGCGGGCACGGGCGAGTCCGTCCCGTTCCGGACCTTCCTCTCCAGGCTCCGCGCGCTCGCAGCCGCGCTACGCTCCCACGTCGGCCTCGCCCCGGGCGACGTCGCGTTCGTGCTCGCGCCGGCCGGCGTCCACGTCCCCGTGCTCTACTACGCGCTCATGTCCGTCGGCGCCGTCGTCTCCCCCGCCAACCCGTCCCTCACCGCCGCCGAGGTCGCCCGCCTGCTCGCGCTCTCCAACCCGCGCGTCGCGTTCGCCGTCGCGGGCACCAGGGGCAAGCTCCCTCCCGGCCTCCGCACCGTGCTGCTCGACTCCCCGACGTTCCTCTCGTTCCTGCTGCACGACGAGCCCGAGGAAGGCACGGGCGCGGAATTGGTGGCGGTCCGGCAGTCGGACCCGGCGGCGGTGCTGTACTCGTCGGGCACCACGGGGCGCGCCAAGGCTGTCGTGCTCACCCACCGGAACCTCATCGCCTCCAACGTCACGCGGGCGCCCGCGGCGACGGAGACGCTCATGCTCGCCGTGCCGCTCTTCCACATCTACGGCTTCACCTTCTGCCTCAGGGCGGCGTCGCCGGCGCACACGCTGGTGCTGCACACGGCCAGGGGCAGGTTCGACGCCGCGGCGGTGCTAGCTGCGATGGGGAGGTTCGGCGTGACGCGCCTCGCGCTTGCGCCGCCGGCGCTGCTGGCCATCGTGCGCGCCGCCGAGGAGGACGCGGCCGCGGCCGCGCCCGCCCGCGTGGCCACGCTGAAGACGGTGAACTGCGGCGGCGCGCCCGTCGCGGCTGACCTCATTGCGCGCTTCTCGCGCATGTTCCCCGGCGTAAGCGTTACCCAGGTTGTTTTCGCTCCTGCAAGTTGATGCCTTTCGATTCTTAGTTCAGAGATTATCGTTACTGGTTGATACAAATCACTTGCAATTATCTGTAAATTATACGAATTGTTATTTCCAATTGGCAAAAGGGGTATGGTCTCACGGAGACTACAGCCGGTTTCTGCCGTGCTGTTGGGGAGGAAGAAAGCGCACGAATTGGATCCGTGGGCCGTCTTTCATGGGGCGCTCAAGTGAAGATTGTTCATCCAGAAACAGGGGCTGCCATGCCTCCTGATGTGCCAGGGGAGCTTTGGGTCCGAGGCCCTTTTGTAATGAAAGGTAAGTCCATATCAGCATGCAATTAGTTTAGTAGTAAAACACTATGCTATAATCCACTTTGCTCATATAAAATAAAGACGTTGCTTTTAAGAGGACCTTGTCCTGATAGCTATAGTTTCAGTGGCTTCACGGGGTATTGTATATTCAGATTCAGATAACTTCGGTATGACCACACTAGTAATGTCCTATAAGAGAGTTTTATAAGTTGGACAAGAGTTTCAGCATTTAGAGTGTCTATTTGTTTCTTCAGCCACCAAAGAAAAGATGCCACCAACCTTGCACTTGTTTACAGAAAATGTAAATAAACTTCACAAAAAGAAAAAACAAGAATTTTGTTGGCATTCCGATGCGATACCTCCATGTGGATGTTGTCAGTTAATTTAAGCTATATGATTCAGTATCAGTGTTCTAATTTTGCTAGTGCACAACGTGATGCCTGTTGCTACTCGATTATTTTCGCCATCGCCCTCACATTAAACTGAAACCTCAGTGACCCTCTGTCCCTTTGGGCACTAGCGTAGGTTACCTTGGCGAGGAGGATTCTACATCTGATATCTTGGACAGTGAAGGATGGTTGAGGACAGGAGATCTCTGTTATATTGACAAGGACGGATTTGTTTACATCGTTGACCGGCTGAAAGAGTTAATTAAGTACAAAGGCTACCAGGTATCTGCTACTGTTAGAATATTTCTAATCAGCATTATCATGACCCAGCACTCCATCAGAGCATCTGATCTGTTACAGACTTGCAGTGTCAGCTTGCCTGCTCCCCTGAATCCTGATGGTATAGTATATGTTTCATCCAGGTGCCTCCTGCAGAACTCGAAAGCCTGCTTCAGACACACCCAGATATTGTTGAAGCTGCAGTTGTCGCGTAAGTACAAATACACCCAGAAAACATGAGAAATCAATCTTTCACAAAAAAAAAAAGATACTAATGGAGTATTACAATAACTATTCTTCATAATACAGATACCCTGATGACGAGGCTGGAGAGTTGCCGGTAGCGTTCGTCGTGGGACGCCCAGGAAGTCACTTGCACGAATCACATATCAAAGAATTCGTCGCCAGTCAGGTTTGCCGCTGGCTCAACCCAACAATTTTGCAGCCACAGATGTTTCTTTTCTAAGAGACAAGAGGGAGCTTTGTTGAGTTGCTTCAACTATAACCGTTATAATTTGTCATGCAGGTTGTACACTACAAGAGAATCCACCATGTTTTTCTTGTGGATTCCATACCACAAAATGCGGCAGGTAAGATTCTGCGCAAGGACTTGGCCAAGCTAGCATTGCGGCGTATTAGCTCCAAGCTATAGTATGTAGTTGCATTGTATGTGATGTCTTTTTTTTGTTGGATAAGTAGGTAGATCAGTTGCAACGTGATGTCAGGGTGTCACGCCCTCGCCATGACTGTATAAAAGTTCTAGCAGATATCACGTTTGTAATCAGTTTAAGACATTGAGAGTAATTGAGTAAGTGTGAATTTTAAATTATATGCATAGATTGAGATTATATCAGATACTACGTACCCTGATGAATTTGTACCCTGGAGTATTATTATTCGTAGCCACTCCAAACGTGTCTCCAATAACCAATATGATCATAATTTTATTTTAGTAGTGGAACTGCAAACATCAAAAATTAAATTCAAATATTTGGCACATCCACCAATATTCGTTCAGTTTCGAAAGGATAGCGGCAAAACAACACTGATAACAAATTTAGGAAAGAAAGGGAGAGATGATATGGAGATGAATGCATAACAGTCTAATAGGAATTGCAGAGTGTAAGTTCTTCATTCAGTTCAGGATGGGTACTTTTCCCACCAGCGTCTTGAACTCCTCTGAAATGCTAAAAGATAATTTTAATTAGCAAGCGCATAGTAGGCAACTAAACAGTGGAACTCTAAACAGCAAAAAGTTAAATTCAAATATCTGCCATATTAGTCCATTGATCAGATTGGAACCAAATTTGACAGATCTCTTGATTAGAGAAAATCTACCAGTACATCAAGAACTTCAAGAAAATAGAAACAAGTGGCATTCTCTGCAGCAGGCCAGCAGTAAATCAAGAACCTCAAGAACAGAAAATAGAAGCAATCAGCATTATTCTCGGCAGAATAGATGTCGATCGTAAGCTTTTCATTCCACTGCACCCAAAAGCATAGTTTCTAGAAAAGCTGGATTTTCCAACCGTGAGCAGAAGCCTGCGAACTGATTGGCCATCATAGATTGGCAATCGGACGCAACATTTTTATTATTATTATTTTTTGCTACCGTGGCCGGTGGCCAGTTGCCTTTCGAGCCGTGCAGGTCTCTCGACTTGATTCAGCAGCCTCAGCGTCCAGCCGCCACCCTGCCCACCTCGCCGTCGTACTCGTACACGCGCGCACCAACCGCCCCGGCGAAGCACAGCACCCATGCCATGCCGCCGTCTCCGTCCGACCCCGACATCGACCCGCGCAGCGGCTACTGCGCGGCCACGAGGACGTTCCCACAGCCTGCGTTCGCCGGCGCCGCTACCTCCGCCGGACCTCCCGCTCTCCTTCCCAGCCTTCGCGCTGTCCTTCCTCCCCGACCCGCTGCCCCCGTCGCCCCGCCCGGCGCTCGTCGACGCCGGCACCGGCGCGGCCGTCTCGTTCCCGGCGTTCCTGTCCAGGACCCGCGCGCTCGTTGCCGCGCTACGCGCCCGTGTCCGCCTCGCCCCGGGCGACGTCGCCTCGTGCTAGGCCTTGTTCTCTGAGGGCTCCTCCGGAGAAGTCGGGAGGCGGATAAAAGTCCTATCAAATAGGGCCTTACATTTAAGTAATTAAAGTCTAGCCCAGTGATTCTAATAGTACATACCTTAAAAATTGCCCTAATAAAACCTAGTTCGGTAGGGCTCCTTCCCTGGGAGCTTCTCCTACTCCAAAACGACTCTGGCCGCTATTTCTTCACTGAAAACGGCTCTAAACAACTTCTGTTATTAAATCGTTTGATAGACCTCTTCCGTAGCAGCCGGAGAGAAGCCTAGGAAACGGGTTTAAATCTATGCTATGTACGCAGGGCGACACAGTTACATTGCATGTACAATGAAAATTGTGAAAATTACGTCCATGCGCGTGCATGCATGCAGGCTATGCAGCAGGTGCTGTTTGTCCATCAATTTTTTTTTTGTGTTAGCACGTACAGTACGTGAGCTCCATCGATCTCTCTTTAATGCACGCTACGGGTACATACAGTACTACATGCTGTATGCATGTGTATATATACGTATACGTACTTCCCAGCGTATAGGATGGATACGTACGTGTACGTATATGATGAGTATAGCTAGCACTGCTGTGCATGCATGTGGGCCATTACTTAGTTACTAGTACTAGTAGTACTCGCGATCTCCGGCCTCATCTCCTGTATTATACAGTGAGGTGTAGTACCTACATGATGCATATATATATATACCACTGCTACTACGTACGTACTACTGTCGTTCACTGCGAATACGTACAGATCACGTACGTACGTATATATGCTTGGGTTTGTACATACTGATATATATATACTGATCGATCCATGCCATCCCATGCATGCATCTATCTGTTTGTCTGTGCCAGCGCGTGTACGTACGTGATCGTGGCCTCGTGGGTGACTCTCGGTGTACTGCAGATCGATCCATTGTATCCTAATGTAGCTATGTACGATAATATCCTGCAATTGGCATGCATATACATGACACGAGATCGATTCGCATCGCATCTGCCGTACACGTACGCTCCAACATGGCAGGAAATGCAGAGCCGTACGATCAAAAATGGTTTAGCTTATTAACCACAGAGATATCCATATCCTAAAGGATTGTTACTGCACCATGAGAGAGAGAGAGAGAGAGAGAGAGAGCTGATACTACTACAGAAATAATTTTTATAGGTGTCTTTTATTTTTTTGAAAGGTCATTTACTTTATAGGATTCTATCTTTTGTTTTGATAACCGGCTCTAAAAATCATTTTTGACCCTATGTAAAAAAATACCTTTTTATCACAGTAGGGATGAACTTACTGAAATAAACAAAAGGTTAATGCTTTTATTACATCTAGTGCTTCCGAGAAATGTTATGAGTTTGAACAAATAAAATATTCCTTACTGAAAAAGTTAAGTATTGGAGTTTGGAAACAGCGACAACAGAGACGTAGGAGCTGTGAGTACGGTTCATGCACCTTGCTTAGGGTGGTTGATTCGCAAACAAGTCCAATGGAGGAACTAACAATAACAATATGTTTGCTAGTATATATCCACAGTTTTAAATCTCATGGATGCAAGGTCATGGACTTAGGTACATGAGTGAATTAATTTGAGGCATCAATAATATTAAAGGAAGAACATTTGAACAAGTTGAATAATACCCTAGAGATCAAGCAAAGCATCTAAGATATCGAACCGGGTTGGATAAATACTTGAAGATGAAGAACAAACATGTTGAATAATTACACTCACATTCGACAATATCATGACTCTATAAAACCAATTCATCAGATGATTTGGTGCTGTACGTGTTCCTTAAGCACCTAATTTCACCGCTAGACTAATGATGATCCTAGGGCATCAACAGAGTGCTTCTCCCAACGGATGCTCCAGTGTTGCAGAAGTTGTTCTAGGAAAATCGAGTTCGGTACTGAGTTGAGTGGTTTTAGGAAATTTCAAGGCACTAGAAGGTCCGTCAGTTCACTAGAGATATACACCAGAGTTTGGTGAAAATTAAAGCTACTAGATAGAGAAGGCATTAGAAGCTCCGACGCTCACCATGATGACCACTAGATCATCTTATGATAATGCCGAAGCTACCCAAATGGCTAGTTTCTTTGCTCTCACCAAACATTATGGTGAAGAGCTCAGAATTGAGCACACCAGAACATCTAGTGAAGTCATTTGTGAAGTCTGAGTTGCAAAGGCTAGTTTCTTTGGTTGGGGATATAAATAGCCCATCATTTGGTCGTTTCATACACACTAAAGATGTAAGACACTTACATTTGATAGCTTCAACATACAAAATTTGATGCTGAAGATTAACGCAATTAGAACAAGGCATAGGCCTCAATCGGTGCTAGTTTAAGTGTTAGCTTAGGTTACACAGGTTTACACCCCCCCTTGCTTTTGAGTTCTTGCACACATCAAGAGTTGTACAACCGGTGCTTCTTGTTTGTATTGTGATTTGTGAGACCCTTCACTCGCTCTCATGTAGTGAGCATCGTATCTTGTATGAGGAAAGAGAGGACCTTTATGATGGCCAAAAAGTTTATCAAGTAGAGAGATGGGTAGAGATGGCATGGACCGTTCTAGCAAAGGCAAGGTGGAGACCCACTTGTACGTGGGAATGCCCCTCGGCTATCCATAGAGTCACCTAGATGGAAGCTTGCCCTTGAGACAGACTGGAATGAGGATAGTAGAAAATTTGAGCTTTTTTCATATCTTGATAAGAAGTATGAGCTTCCTGATATCTTGGCAAAAAGTTGAGATAGTGGAATTTGTGTTCTCTATCCCCTTTATATTCTGCATTACATTCTTGCACTTTACTTTTCGCATTTATCATTTCTAGATTTGTCAGGTGTAGCTGATAGGATTTGATCTTGGGTGCAAAACCTTTTTTTTAAATGAACCCAATAGGAGAGTTGTCGATTATTTCTTTTAAAAAAGATCAACGTGTAGATCGGGTAACCCAACAAAGCAACAAGGATTTTATGTGTGGTAGTAAAGATAGCGGTTCATAGAAAATCATATTACACATTTGGATAGACATTATTTAGGTTTTTATGAGTGCAAATAAAATTATCTATAGTTTTAGGGTATCTTTGGTGTGGCTCCCGCACTGAAGTGGAGCCACACCAGAAGATGCCGCACGAAAGAGCGCTTTTCTCTCTTGTGCGTGAAGCCAGAGCCGTTTTGGTGCACGAGTCCGTCTTTAAAGCTCCGACTCTAGCAACAAAGTAGCAGAAGCAGAGCCTCACCAAACATGCCTTTAAGATGCTGGCTGACATCAGCACGTATATTTTGATACAGTTGCGTGACGCCACAGGAATATCAATGTATTTTGAGTAGTGCTGCACCAGTGCCGTCACATCCATCAACGTCGTCGCCCATGGATCTGTCAGTATCAGTATACTCCCTCCGTCCCGTTAAGATTGTCGCTCGGGAAGCGGGATTGTGAGGGGGGCACGGTTTTCCAACGACAAACTCAATGGGACGGAGGGAGTATATGATATCGATCCCTAACGCTCTAGCTACCTACAGGGTTGCCATCCATCCACATATGCGAATGTGATGGATGCATGGTTGTATCTGCTGA